ACATGTGTGGTTCAAAGGCTCCCTCCAAAATCCTTTTACTTCCTTGCTGCTTAAAATAAACTACAAGTGAGCTTTCCAATGACTTTAATAAAAAAAAAAAGGTTATACATATGATAGATGCATGTAAATATAGATATCACTAGATATATTAGTTAGTTTAAATATTGCCTAGTACCTCCCCAAAAGTTGGATGTAAATAAAGAATTCTGTATTTCTGGTGATACTACGAAAGAAATAGATTTTATCTATCAAGTTTAGCATAGACCAGTACAGACAATTTTAAAAACATCCAAATGTTTATTCCAAAACACTTAAGTCAAAATTTACTAAGAGAAATGCTGTTCTAAGTATTCAGGTTAATATTCTCTTCTAGTCTTAGTACTGTCTCTAAGCTTGGCACTTCACCAATTATTTGCTTTTGAAATTCTTCTCCATAGGTTTCTGATACAATATATCATTGTCTTTCTCTGTTTTTCCAACAAAGCTAGACTGTTTTCCTTCACTTCCCAATAATCAACGCCCTACACTTTAGTCTCTCCTAAGTAGTCTTGCCCTATGCCAACCTTGATGCATTAGCTAATTCACCCATTTTATCCTAAGAAGAACTGTATATAAATCAGTCCAGCCCAATTAGACTTTAACATCCTTTTCTCTAAAGGTTAAAAGGAGCAAGAAGAAAATACAGTAAAGACTAGATTTATTGATAGTTATAATTGGACTAAATTTAAAGTAACTATAAAAATAAGCAAAACAATCAATATTCACGTGACTGATACTGTAATTCTAAGACAATAACCTTATTTTGCCACTAACATCAACCTAGTTTCTTAAGAGTAAAATATTTTACCTTTGTTATCTTTTATACAATCACTCATCAACCAAACATGGAAGAAAAATATGTATTATGTTTCCTTTAATTCTATGAGATCAGTAACAATGATACAAATTATTAATCAACCTCTGATGATTTACTATTTATGCCACTGGCTATTAGATGCAAAATACTCTGAACTAGCTTGTTCAATAACTAGCTTTCCTCATTTGTTTTTCTTTTTCCCTCTTGAATATAAAAGATGACATTGTCATCTTCAACAACAACAACATTTTTTGATCAGCTTCTACCAGCAAGGCTGTGTGTTAGCAACTGAAGGTGCAAAGATATAATATCATCCCTCAGAGAATTTATAGTACACCTGATTTAAAAAAAAAAACAACTAAATACATGAAAATATAAGTAAAGTGCAAGACAGTATAAAATAGGCCAGTGAGTGCTCTAAAGAGTAATATGGGACTATGAGGGTAGGTGAGGGAAGTTTCTTAACAGTCAATACAAAACAAAGGACATGAGACTAAGTCTGGGCCCTACTGCAAAATGAATAGAACCTAGTTAATAACCAAATAGACATCAGAGTATTGAAAAACTAATGAAAGAGTTTCTGTGTTCGGGACAAGAGGAACACGCTGAAGGAACAATAGATTATAAGAAATATGATGTTAAGCCAAAACCAACCCACCGGGCAAGCAGCAGAACACGTAGGCACTTAACTACTCCGGAGCTGAGGATATTTATCACTTGGTATGATATTCATGTGGCCTCACTAGCTTCTGGAACAGCTCCGCTCTTAACATTTGAACAATTTATTGCCTAATTATTTCATCTGCCCTTTTGAAGAGTCTCTCCGCAGGACACTTTTTGAGCGTGAGAGTACAAAAAGTGGGCCCTTGGAAAGTCATCCCACCCATTGAATTAAAAGCCAAATAACCTTTTATCAAATGCTTTGTGACCATTTAAAATATTGAATTTGTATCTTAATCATGGAGTTCAACAGGAATATAGCCAGTGGGAAGGACTTAATTACAAATGATATCTTTCTCATGGTTATCCCACAATCCCAAGAGATGCTTTAATGAAGTTCTGAGACCTCAGACAGGAAAGGTCAAACAGCTTTTCTCCCCACCCCCATCCACAGAGTGCACCCTTTTCCCTAGCACACGTTCAGCCAGGTATGCTATTAGCCTAAGGCAAAAATTCCAGGAAACACAAATTCACTGAGAAGTTCTCTGAAATTCAGTAGATAATAGAGCAGCCTCTTTCAGAGTTTGAAAAGGAGATGAATTTAGATAATCTCCATTTAAATATAAATGTATATTTCATTAGAAGTATAATATGCCAGGAGGAATACCACTCTACTTGCAAATTTATCACATATTAAAGATTCATGATATTTTATATCGATACATTTTAAATGTTGAAAATGTTCCTGCTATGTTTATACTATGTACATATTTAAGTTTGCACTAGGTTAAACCAGATGAATTGCCTTTTTTGGTAGGTCAAAAATGGTTGAATATTCGATTTTATCTAGTTCAACCCAATTGTCTTACAATTAGTAAAAGAATGCAAAGTTAGATTTTATTAACACTATTCTGACCTATTTTTCATTCTTAAAAAAATACTTTTGCTTTATGCTAAACAAGGTCTTTTCAATATCCATTAGCTCTAAATTGGTATTTACTTTTCCAGAACTTGGATTTTCCACTTGAATTTCTAGACTGTATCTTGAGCACTTAGCCAGGCAATTTAAGGTAAAACTTCACATGAATTTTAAGCACATAAGCCATTTTAAAAATTAATGTTGAAGAAGATATTTGGCTTTTTCCTTGTAATTTAAGATGTTGGTCTCCTTATCTTCCAAACATAAACAAAACACCTCATTATGCCATGAAAGACATGTTTCTGAATTCTGGGGAGGGGAGTCCTCCTGGGTACAAATCCTTTCCCTGTCCCCATTTTCTTGTTTGTTTGTAGGAAATAGGTTTCATTTAGCCTCCTGGACCTTAACCTGAGTTCCAAAGGGCAGATTCTAACAGTAGCTAATCCGGGAATGAGGGGGTGCAGAAACAAAGGAGGAAGGGCCAAGAAGCAATAGTGCAGAGGCCCAGTTCCCAGCCCCCCAAGCAATATGAATAACATTGGCTTTGAGTTCTTCTTCAGGAACTGAGGCCTTCAGCCAGGCAGTGGGTGGGAACTTTAGGGAGACCACCAGATTTCAGGAAGCAAAGCCCTGTCACCTCACCACCAACCAATCAGCACAAAGTCACACAGCTTGCAGCCCCCACTCCAAATTTTGCCTATAAAAACTTCTCCCTGAAAACCATCAGGGACTTTGGGGGTTTTGAACATGAGCTGCCTATTCCCCTGGCTTGGCCCTGCAATAAAACCTTCTCTGCTCCAAACCCCAGTGTTTTCTGGCCTCATCACGCATGGGGCACACAAATGAGGATTTGGTAACATTTCCACATGAATTATTGATGTTAATAATTAGAAAGAATCTTCACACACAGTAACTTGGGTGTGAGTTTCCTTGAAAAGACATTTGGATCTCCTAATATTTTTCTAGGCTTCCTGGTGGCTTAGTGGTAAAGAATCCACCTGCAATGCAGGAGGCGCAGGTTCAATCCCTGGGTTGGGAAGATCCCCCGGAGGAAGAAATGGCAACCCACTCCAGTATTCTTACCTGGAGAATCCCATGGACCTGGTGGGCTACAGTCCATGGGGTCGCAAAGAGTCAGACACGTCCTAGCGACTAAACAACAACTCAACAGGTTTAAGTACTTGCGATTAAAAACGCTGTACGGGGCATCTTTTAACAAGAGCTAGTTTGGGTTTGCACCCCACAGGCCTACAAGTCTTGTCCATGCCAAGCCTTGACCTAAACAAGAGCCTGGAGTCAGCGCCAGAGATATCAGCAGTTTAATGGCTGGGGAGAGAGAATCTTACATGTCAGAAGCAAGGTCCTGGGTTGCAGCGGGCAGCAGGCAGGACATGGGGATGGTCTTCACTCCAAGATCATCAGGAGAGGGAAGGGGAGGTCACTAGTTTTATAGGAGGAATTGAAATCAGGTTGGCTCATTAGTTTCCAGGGAAACCAGCAGAGGCACTACCCCTCACCACCCCTTTAATAAGCTCTCCTGGTGGAGATATTCTGATCCAAAGATTAGAACAATCACTTGCTGGAGCTAGAGGCAAATTTGTAGGAGGATTTCTCAAGTGAGTAGGGTTTAAGTAAAGAAGAGTCTGGTCCAGCAGGGGATGTACAGAAAGCAGGAGAACAGCCATCTTAGTGACCACACTAGTAACTAGCCTATCTGAGGAGGTAGGAGCTAGGGATGGAGAAGGATTGATGAGATAACTCTGAAAGCCTAGCTCAGATGGTAGGGTTTTGCCTGAAACTGAAAAAAGACAAAATTCTAACTCACTGTGGAGTGACTAAACTGCATAATGGGTGGTTTTTTGGTAGCTGATAAGCAATTTCTCAAGAGGACACATTACGTTCTCTTAATGCTGTGCTGGAATACCTGTATATGGATGGAGAAGACTGCAAAATAAAGAAAAGTGCTAGGGATGAACCAGCTGATCTGACTTACTGCTCAGGCAACTCCCAGAAATTAGGTGTTTAAACTGAGGGAACAAGATCAGTATTCAAACATGATTTCATAGCCGTACATTTGCTTTTAAGTCCAAATCCTTTATGTTCCTCAAAGTGCATGCCATCCTGAACACTTACAAGAAACAGTATAAAAACTCTTTTCACAGTTGAAAGGCAGAGATGTGTCTTATTTTTGTTGGCAGTTAATGTGGGACCTACAGCAGAACAACTGTCTCGAATAGCCACGAAATCAATGATATAAAATTGTCAAGTCCTGAGCGGCCTGTTCCCCGTGAGGACAAACAGAATTGAAAAGGGGGCGCCCATGCCCAGGTTTTGAAATGACAAGAAAGGTGTTGAGTTGTCTGTTGGAAGACTCGTTTTTAATTATTTCGTGGCGAATATAACTAGTCTTCCTTTATGAGACTTTCTGGGTGTTTAGTTTGGCTGCGGAATAAAATCTTTCCAAGAGGCACATATTAATTTACTCGAAGACCCGAATGGCAAGGGTGAACCTGGGGGCAGGAACCGGTGAAATACAGCGAGGGGGAAAAGCTGGAACGAAGCCTTATGATCTTCTTTTTAAGACCTCTTTCCCGCCTCTCTTGTAAGAGGAAGCAGCCAACCCAGCTTAGGGTTTATCTCCAAGACAATAGCGCCGCTCGCCGCCTCGGGAGCGGCTCCGACAGCGCGCGATGCCCTGCTCGGGCCCTGTGCCCCCGCCCCGCCAACTCCACGGGCGTCCCTGCCGCTGGTCCCCGTGGCTCACCTGAGCCCTGTCCCGTCGATGCCCCCACCTCACTGGCTTATCTCGCCCCAATTCCCCCGCCCCACCAGTCCCTCTGCTCCATCAGTCCTCGGGCTCTCCAGACCCTCTGCCCTTCCTTGCACCCGTTGAGCGCCAGCGGTCGTGAAGAGCCCGCAGCTCCGCCTGCGCCTCCTAAGCCCGCGGGCGAGAGAGTGGCGCGCAGCCGCGATCCCGGGACGCCTCCGAGCGCCCAGCGCCCCGGGTGCCCTGGCACCCCAAGCTCTCAAGCGAAATGGCCTGCGTCTCGCCTCCTCCCTGGCTAGGGGCCTCTCGGGCTTGTTTGCTTGTCCTCATCCCCGGGCCAGCCCCGCTCCCTCCTCCCGGCGGCTGCAACAGCCGTTTGCTTCCTGCGGTGTGTTTCTTTTTTTCCCCTCTCCTAGGCTCCATCAAAGGTGGCTCTGTTATTGAAATATGAAGCCGTTTCCTCTCCAAAACCCTTGATTACTCAAGGCGGGAATCAATGGACCTATATACTGTCCCAGAAGTTATAAATAAATGTCTGTTTGTTCAGGAGGCGTTTTCCCGCGTGTCCTAGCATCTTCCCCAGCGGTTATTTTAGGGGTGCTTGAGCGCGCGAGCGCGCGCCTGTCTCCCTGTGTGCGCGCGCGCGCTCTGTACCCATCTGGTTCTAATCCTGGGTATGGATCCATAAGCCAACTCCACCCATCCTGTCTGCCCCTCGCATTCTTCACTCTATAAATAAACCCAGGTTCTTTGAGCTTTGTCATCAAAGGGTACAACAGCAGTTGTTTGTTAAAGGAGAATCAAACTCAGTATCAATATTGCGTCCAGTAAACAAGAAAGCATACTTCTGGCAGTGTGGGTGAAACGGCCCCTTACTTACATTTTGGAAGCTTTTCCCGCTGTGGTCATAATTACCTGATTACCCTGAATATACCTTGGGGGAAGGGAACCGGGAAAGCGAAGACCTGTCCTACTTTTGGATCTTCATTTTAAGCAGAGGCTAAGAAACAAAGTGAAAACTCACTATCCTGGTTTGTCTGCCTCACCCCTCTGCCCCCCCCCCCCCGATCGTTCCACAGTCCCTTGCCCCATCCCCTCTGGACAGACCCAGGAGGTGTGCCGTGGAGGGGGCTTGTGGTTGTAGCTCCCGCTTTGCCTGAACCCCTGAGCGGGCAACTCGGGGATCTGAGCAGAGGGAAAGTCATCTAAGAGGCTGCTGTTCCACAAGGTCTGGGCATAGAGCTGCCCCTCCCTTCCTCCCTGAAGTTTGCATGAAGCGCACGTTAGGCTGTAATTAGGGGATCTGGGAGGAGAACTTTCCTGGTGACGCTGCTTTGCTTTTCTTCTGCTCTTGGTGAGAAAGTGCCTCCTTCTTCCCAGGAGCAGGACCTCTGCCATCCAGCGCCACAAAGAGACATTCTGCGCGGCACACGCACACACACACACACACACACACACACACACACTCACACACGCACACACACTTGCCCAGAGACAAACTTAAGGTGAGGGGAAAGAGCCCTGGCTTCACTTGATCTCCAGGCTCCAACTTCAGCAGGACTTGAGAGCATCTGAACTTCTGGATTTTAGGACAAGGTAAAAATCCCGTGTATATATATATATATATATATATATATATATATATATTTTTACTCTTTGGGTTAAGCCTTGATTCCTTTAAGATTTCAGAGGGCATACATATCATGATATATGTATACATTAAAATAACTTTTCTTGTTTTAATTTTCTTTTGAGTTTGACATGGCAGCTCAACTTTTTTTTTTTTTTAAGTCTCTTATTGTCAGATAAAATACTGTTCTGCAGTAAACAAGCTCAGTCTAGACTGGGGTAAGGATGAAGTCCAGTATCCCGGATTTTGCTGATGCTACTATAAATCTGGTGGATGCATGGTTTCCAAGTGGCAGTTTTTCCATCTGTATTTCAACAAGCATTTTTATAACACCTGAAAAAAAGGATAGTATAGGCTGAAGGAAATGCTGAGGAATGGCGATATCCATTCCAGATTTATGAGTTTTCTTTTAGAAACTATGTAAGTTCATGTGAAAAGAAAGTTACTGTAATCACATAGGTAATACCTGTTAAAGTGACAGTCTTTGAGATGTTACCGATTTTGGTTCAGGCTTCTCAACTTAATTGTGAAATTAAGATCACAGAACTATGGTGCTTTTTGTATATAGAATGATGTTGGTGGACAATTTTAATACACTGAAAAAAATCCTTGTAAGTCATGGTTGGTAAGGTTACTTTTAAAAGTTGCTTAAATGAATGATTTGTGTGAGACTGTTTACCATCCTAAGTAAATCTGAACTCTCTGGGGTTGAAATGAAGTTGTTTTCTTCCATTGACTATGACTGTTGTGTTCCAAATAAGATGGTTTATTATTTTGAAAATAAGTTGTTTTATTTTCATTTATCCCTGGAAAAATACACAAAGTGGCCAGTACTTTGGGAGTTTTTAGGATGGAAAGTGTTCCTGTACACGTTCCAGTGTGATGTCATTAAATCAAACATACTGGCTGGCTTCTTGGAAGCTAACGGTTCTTAAGAAATAAAGCCTGAGAATTAATTTCTACGTGAAATGTAATATTTATTCATTACAAAAATATTTTCTGGTAACCATTTCTATTTGATTATTTCAGTGTACTAAATTTGCAATCATTTTACACACACTTCAGCAACTTCAATATTTTAATGGAATCATAAAATGAGAGTATTGTTTTATTAAAAATACATCATAGTCGTTCTCTTTGGATAACTTTTAGTTTGATGTGTCTTAAGTTCAGTTCCATTATTTTTATGAAATTTTTCTTTCATTCAATAAAATAGAAAGTATGCCGAAGGTGGTTGGGCATTTATTTAAACCTTAGTCTTCAGTCACTTTGGGGCTATCTGTTCTTGATAATTTAATTTTTAAGCTAAGAGAATGACTATATGTTTTAGTAATCTCTTCACAAAACTGGAAACAGATTAAAAATGGGAAAACTAGATAAGAACTAATTCTGTTTAAACATAACTTAATGAGCAAGAGAAAACCAACAACCTCCAGACCACTGGTCTCCGAAGAGAAAGTACCCAGAGGCCAGTATTCCAAAGGGGAGTGTTCAGTGGGCCTGGGCTTTCTATCAGAAACAAGCAAGAGGAGAACATGGTGTTCTTATAAAGTGAGCCATTTATTGTACGCTAGGCCCTGAATCTCAGAGGAATGACTGACACTGTAATTTAGAAGAACTGAAGATACTTTCACAGAGAAGAATCAATTCATTATATCCCTAGTGGTTTCACTTCCTTTTCCTTCCTTTGGGAGCCGGTAACACATCCAGGATAAATACATTCGGCGAACGAAGATGCTTTATGAATAGATGGTCTACTAAACAGTCCTGCCTTTTAGCATCTTGGGTGTGGAATGTTGGTATTTTCTGAGTAGTTGAAGAAGTCTTTGACTCTTAAGGTAGCACAGCCCCTGGTCTTTGTAAAGATGAACAAGAGGCATATTCAGGAAATAACTCCCTTTTTTGGAACACCCTAATACTGGTTTTCTTTTCATTTCCTTTTGCCCCATGTATGTTTTATTTTCCAGATTACATTTTAAAAATAATGGTATTCACAGCCAGTTAAAATTCCAGCAAAATGCAGAGCAAATTTGAAAATATTTTGTATTATAGTCTTCCGTTGCCTCCAGTTAATTTTCCGACCTCCTATGTTCATTATCAGTAACCATAGTACTTAACCTATGATATTTAAATGTATTTAGTCTGTTAAGTAAAGGTAACGATATGTTATTGGGGTAAAATGGGAAGGGATGGAAACTTGAATGTCCTTAGGATTTTAATCAATAGTGTTTAAGGAGGATTACAGGAAACAGCTGGTTAAACAAATATTAGGTGTACAGTGGATGCTATGGCATAAATTAATAATGCAGCTCTTTATTTACACTATGAATGGGAGGGTCTGTGCCGGTTCCATGTGGGAAGAGTGATCCCTGTGTGCCACCTAGTGGACAAATTGAAGAACGCTGTCTCACCAGCCTCTTCCTAAAAAATCCTGAGTTGCATTCAGTTGACATTGAACACCAACTGCAGGCCAGGCTTTGGGGTAGGTGCTCAGAATAGAAAATACAGCAAGTGACTTTTGTATAATTTAAAAATCAAGGCATCACTTAACAGTTGATTAAACTCTTTACTGGGTAACATCATCAACTTTCTGCCTCCATCAGGATAACAGTAACTTACTTCTAATCACAAGAGAGTCAGACATAACTTAACAACTAAACAACAGCAATTTGTCACTAATACAGGATTTGTCTTCTGCAGAGATGTCATGACCTAGCTTAAAAAAAGAGTGGGGAGAGTTAGAATCTTGAATGACTTTCCTAAATGGAAAATTTACTAATTTTAAGTGGATAAATAATAATTAGCTTAAAAGGTTAGCACACAGATACTAGCACATATTTAGATTTTTTTTCATTAAATATAAAAGGATAAGAGTAAAAGTTGCTTTTGAGTAGTGAGGTAAGTTTTACAAAATATTGCTCTCAGGGACTAATAATCAGCATGTAGAACAATTTTATCTATAGCTGTTATTCATATGTAGTTTTGAAGCAGGAACGTTGTTTCTATTAAGTTGACATGATAGATAAAAATCTTAAGAACAATTACAATGAAAGCCACTGTTGGAAAGAAGCATCAGGATATCATAGGATTTTGATCCATCAGAATATTGCACGGAGACTTTTGAACAACTTTGCTCCAGGAGACATATGAATTATTACTCCAACTGACTCTTTGCAAGATCTATGACTTAATGGCAACAGTGTTCAGTACATCAGCATTAATCAAGACAAGTTCTGAAATTCAGATTGGAAGGGGAAAAAATGCCTCAGTTGGGGGAAAAAAAATGATTAATTTGTTGCTTGCTGAGCTCTGGAGGTGTAATCCACAAATCGAGTTAGGCCTGCTGGTGTGGAATGGAAGTTTCCTGTTTAGCGGACTTTGGTTTTGTGTACGGCAGAGAGACCTACACTGTGAAAGGAGAGCTGCTCATTAAGTCTGTCTTCATTAATGCCACAAAATTATAGCCTGACTTGATTGGAAGTAATGGCTGGAATCAACATCAACAATCATGTAAAATAAAGCATATTATCTTAATTTTTATGTCCAATGAGTTATTATCCACCAGAAACACAGCATTCTGGTAACAATTTCATCTGATCATCCTTGTGATTTAGCATGAATTGTAGACTCATTCTAGTGAGAGATTGCCATTTTCTTCTCCAAGACCTA